GGCTGTGGGGTCCCGGGCAGTGTCTGGGAGTTGGGGGCTGGAGAGGGGACAGCTGAGCACAGAAGGCCACTGGTTCCCTGGGCGGTGACTCTGTGACACTGGGACAGCTCTGGGTCTGTGTTCCAGCATGGCATGGCCTGCCTTGTATTATAGGAGGCCTGCCTGGAGGAGTGGCTGGGGCCAGGCAGGGCAGAGCAGAGAGGCGGGTGGGGCTGAGCGGCCGCAGGTCAGACAGGCTACCTGGGTTCGTTGCCCCCGGCCAGAGCAGGAGGGCCAGCAGGCTCATGAAGAGGAGGCTCCCGGGGACCGGCGCTTGTGAAGAGGAGGCTCCTGGGCACCGGCGCTTGCTGAAGGAGAGCCAGGGGGGCAGGGAGAGCCGCCATTCCTGTCTGCAGGGGCAACCTGGAGAGGAACAGAGATGCAGAGTGAGGCAGGGAGGGAGAAGACGTGCCCCTAGGGCCCAAGGTCTGTGGTCCACAGTTACTTTTCGCCTGTTCTCAAGTCCCCGAAACCTGGCTCCCTGGTTCCTAAGCCACAGGAGGTTGTGAGCTGCTTCTAATTTTACCCAGCAGCGCCTGCCTGGCCCCAGCTGTGGGGAGACAGGGCCAAGGTCCCACAGGAAGCCGATCTGGGCTGTCATTGTGTAGAGCCGGGATCAGAGCCTGTGTGGGCACCGCCCGCCCGACCTTGGGACCCTCAGACTCATCCCCTCAGTCCCACGTCCACCTTCCTGTGGCTCCTGCTGCCCTCTGCCCTGGAACAGTGGGTCCACGGGAGGGCAGTTCTCCCCAGAGGTGGGGCGAGTTCTGGAGGCTGGCCAGTTTGGAGGTCTGGGCGGTGTCCCCCTGCTTTTCCAGAAAGGGAACCTGAGAAAGAAGCCAGGCCCAGCTCAGAGGGCCACCAAGCTGCCCAGGGCCCGTCCCCCACCCCCGCCCCCAGCTGCCTCTCTGTCCTCACTGCGCCCCAGGACCCAGAGGGCAGACCCCCTGGGCTCCACTCTGCAGCCCCAGTCTCCTCTCGTCCTGCTGGCCACTCGGACTTCCCTGGCTCCGGTCCTCTGCGCTCTCAGGGGGGCACATGTCCTGGGGTGTCATGCGTGCAGAGCCCAGCCACACCTTAGGCCCCTCTCCGAGGGACTCGGAGAGCTGCTGGGTGAGTTCTTGGGGTCTGACAGTAATGGGATTTGTTCTGGGCCACCCCATGGCTGGATCCACAAGGCCGACTGCACAGTCTGCATCCCGGGCCTGGTAATTTGAACATCACGCCAGGCCTGTGTGTGTGTGTGTGTGTGTGTTCACGCATGTGCACGCATAGATTCCCAAGAGGAGCATGGAGGAGAAGGGACTGCAGCGTGGTCATCCCCCCGGGGTGGTTTCTCACTCTCCCTCTCTCTCCCCTCCTCTCTCCCTCTCTCTCCCCATGGCCAGCACATGCACCCTCCAGCAATTTTTAGTAACTGTCTTTCTTCTATTGTTTTTGTCCTGCCCAGCTTCAGGGGCACATTGACGGTTTTTAATGGACGATGCAATAAAGGTAGGAGGTGGGGCCTCTCTTCAGCTGTCCTTCTCGGTCACGCAGTTCAGTAGTCGGGGTGCAGGGTGGGTCATGGGGTGGGGGCCTTGGGGGCTCCCCGCTGGCCTGGGAGCAGAGGGCCTGTGCTGAGGGACTAGGCCCGAGGGAAGAGCGAGGACCAAGGCTCAGACACAGGGAAGGCCCAGGACAGCAGGGGTAGCTCCATTCGCGTGCACAAGAGACCACTGGAGGTCAGAGGTCAGGGTCCTGGGGAGGGGGGTCAGGCTGTCTCATGGCCTACAGAGGTCAGAATGTCATGGTAACCAGCCGGAGGGGCCTTGGGCAGGACTACGTCCTTCGGTCCCTGCTGCTCGCCAGACGCGGCCCCTCCAGGAGCTGCCCGCGGCGCCCCTGGCTG